AATTTAAATGGCGTCCGTCCAACACCAAAAGACATTACTAAGACTCACACTCCCTCGGCTCTCAACTATAAACTTAGACTCGACAAATTACAATCCGACTCGTTGACCCGACTCAAAGTAGTAGTTTTTATAACTCGAATGATTAGAACTCGATAATCCGTGATTTTGTGGGTCGGGTTGGCGGGTCGATGCGTTAGACCCGTTACATTTTATATGTCACTTCCAAAATGATAAAATCATTCATAAATTGGTGAGGTGTTTAAAAAAATTCACAAGGATTTGAATGACATGTTTGGAGTTTAAGATTAATCAAATATCATGTGTTTCTTCTAGTAGTATTATTCTTGTGATTGTTTTTTGGCGATTTGTGCAATTTGTATTTCATTTCATTAGCATGGGAGGATTTGAGAATATGTTAATTAATATGTGTTAGGTAAACTATTGTCATGCATATGTGAAAATTTGTTTTCTTTAAGAAAATATGAAGCATGTTTGATACTGTTTATGATAGCTCTCATAACCCGAAACGACCTATAACCCGACCTGAAACCGAATGAGTTGGGTTAGGTCAATATTTGACCTGAATTCAGCCAACCTAACATGACTCGACCCGTAATCGGAGACGCCATCATTGATCATATACCGTTTACTAACACGGACATTGAGATGTTGGGAGAGATACCATCGTGAATCATATATTGTTTACTAACACGGAGATTGAGTTGTTGGGAGAGATTCCATCATGGATCATATACCGTTTACTAACAATTACAAGCAACTTTGGACTGAATTCCACAGCTTCTGCCCAAAGCTGATGAGGTAATTTTGGATTTGGGTTTCATTAGATTAGTAATATATGAGTTTGATTAATTATGGGTTAGCATTATGGGCTACGTGGGTTAGTGCATGGGCTGTTATGCTGAGTAGTTTAGTTAGAGTCTTATTAGTTGTATGGCCGCGAGGTCTAGGGTATTGGGAGGGTTATCCTAGCCTAGTATGATAGGGATTCCGGGTAGTGTAGGGCTACGTGTTAGGCTTTTTTAGCCTATAAATATGTAAATATGTAAGTTCGGTAATAGTTCCGTATCCAATTAATAAATCAAAGGTTTATAGACACCAACGTCTTTCTCTCGCTTGTGAGTTACAAGCAAAACCCTTAAATCGTGGGTTACGGTTCGTCAATTGATATGAGAGTCTGGTTCCGAATCCGTTCAGGATCTGTTCGAGATGGGTACGGGCACGTAGGCGGAACGATTCTTGGCGGTGGAGGCGGCGGTGGAGGATTTGAGAGGGTTGGTGCAGGCTAACTTGATCGGACTGACAGAAGTAAAGGAGCAGATGAAGAGCATGAAATAGGTATTGAATATGTCGGTGGCCAAGATCGATGCACTGACACCGCTGAGGGAGGGAAAGGGCTCAATGACCTCGCCCAGCGGGGAAGACAGCTCGGAGGAGAAGGAGTTGGATATCCAATTTTCCAGCGTGACCGTCATTGACGAGAAGCGAAGCGACGTCAACGTGACCCGGGTTGACGCCAATGACCCTAGGGCGGCTGAGGATATGAAGATCTCCGTCCAAAAGATCGTCGAAAAGGAAACAGTGCGCTCGGGTGCACCGCACCTCGGCGAGGCTATCATCCCTCGATCTGAAAGCTACGTGAAGGAAGTCGCATTTGAAGCTCCATCCATGGGAGGCCAAGCTGTTCTTCGACGAGGAAGCACATCCAAGTCCCTCATCAAGCAACCGATAACATGCCATCCAAAGGAGAGACGTCGTTCTAATGTTGATGACCAAGGAAATTTGGGTTTGCGGCAGCCCTATATTGCCTTCCCAAATTATAAGCAGGTGAAGTCGATTTTTCTTTGGGACCAATATTGTCATGAACCAGTTGGTCCCAATAACTCGAGTTGTTGGGAGAAGGTTATGTTGGATCTTATACAGGCCCGTGTATGGTGCTTAACCATTTCCTTACACGCCCCCTCAAACGAAAGCCGACTCATGGGCTTGAAGTTTGCACAGGCCCAGCCCTACCATGTGCTTGAAAGACAACGATTAATATTGGGGGTCGTGAGGACTTGAACACGTGACCTCAAGGATAAACCAGCTCTGATACCATGTCATGAACCAGTTGGTCCCAATAACTCGAGTTGTTGGAAGAAGGTTATGTTGGATCTTATACAGGCCCGTGTATGGTGCTTAACCACTTCCTTACAAATATAATCATGGTAGCCATTATGATGGCTCTTTGTCTCCATTTCCATTCTGCCCCAATCACACCAAATTAAAAGAATGGATCTTGAGCTTGGCCAATCTTAAAGCTAGCAAATCCTGCCGCCAAAATATCCGTGTGACGATCCGTGCACTAGCCAATACAAGGAAGAAGGACCAGGGTCGAACCAAGAGCTGGAAGTTTAGGAAATGACAACGACCACGCCGCCACAAGAGCCGCAACTGCTTTCGTCGTCGACCTCCGCGTCTCGGTATGGACCAAACCTTGGAGACCAAGGTTCTTTGAGGGGAAGGTTTGATGAGGCTCTTTTAGATTTGGCTTTCATTAGATTAGTAGTATATGAGTTTGATTAATTATGGGTTAGCATTATGGGCTACGTGGGTTAGTGCATGGGTTGTTAGGTTGAGTAGTTTAGTTAGAGTCAGGTCTAGGGTATTGGTAGGGTTATCCTAGCTGAGTAGGATTGGGATTCTGGGTAGTGTAGGGTTACGTATTAGGCTTTTCTAGCCTATAAACGTATAAGTTCGATATTAGTTCCGTATTCAATTGATTAATCAACGGTTTATAGACACCAACGTTTTTCTCTCGCTTGTTAGTTACAAGCATAACTCTTGAATCGTGGGTTACGGTTCTTAAAAACCCTTAAATAAAAACGGTTACTTGGTTAAAATAGTTGTGGATTTCATCCTCCATGCATATTGATTATCCTAGTTGCATTTTCCTTTGCATATCTTCTCTTCAGTTTATTCCAGAAGACCTTAGCATTTACAGGGTTCATTATCGATCGCCTGAGGTCCTTATTCATGAAATTCGAAATTCAATGCACATTTGCAACATTACACCCATCCGTAAAAGATAATTTTCATTATGAATCGGATGCATCGACATACTTCCATAAACGAAACTCATTTTATACTTCATCTTTAGACCCATCGTAATCCAAAGGACTCGACATAGTGTAATTAGTACCATCAAACACCTGCGTTCATATGCTCCAATTCAAGACTTCATTAGAATTTAGATATTAACGGTTATCAAAAGATATCATCTCATATCAGATCGCGACCGGTTTCAAGATTATGCTTGTCTATCTACACAATAAATAAAAGTCAAATGAGAAAACTTGAAGGCATGACCACTTTAAAGAAAAGCAAAGATCATAACCAATCACACTAAGTACATTTGTTGTATCTTTTTAAATTAAAAACATATAATCGCAGAGAGGAAAAAACCCTTCCCCCATTTCAAATTCCCTGCTCCAGGAGCGTTTGTAGGAATGGTAGAATAGGGAGTGTCAATTTTTTTCTTTTTCCTCTATGGAACGGGCCAACTTATCGTACACATGCGGATTTAAACGGGTCGAGGAGTGTCAATTTTTTTCTTTAAGTCCTTTTATTTTTCCGTGGTGGTAAAATATATATGAAAAGGAAAACATAATACTCCTTTTTATTTTTAAAAAGAAAAAAAATTAACAATAAACTAATGCATGGATTCTAATGGGCTAACCGCTAATCATAAAATAAAAGAGTTGAATGGGCCTGACCTACACGGGATTTCCCATCAAATAAAACAAATGAACATCATGGGTTTGCTATTCTAAAATAAGCTATTTTCTCTAGCATAATATATATTATGCTATTATTTTATAACTTAGTGGCTAAAATATAATGTATTTTAAAGTTATTCAATAGTTCAACCTCGACCAACCCAATAAATCCAATTTTTATCATTTCAAATATATATTATGTAATTATTTGATATCATAATGATTAAATTATAGTGTATATTATAGGGAATCGTTTGATATTTGTTAGTAAAAAAACTAAACAGAAAGATCTATTTGGTTATTTTTAACATTAAAATGATCCTAAACATTTTCAGTTTCCTTTCGAAATTCTATAGTTTTATTCCTGAATCAGTGATGTGCAAATGGCGAACTGCAGTCATCTCTTTTCTTTCATTATTTTTTATTTTCAAATAGAAAGTTTAAAAGTAAAGAATAATTAGAGTTTGGCATGGGTCGGTCAAACAGATTGAATTTCAAGTTTTGGCCCGTTTTGATCAAGTCTAATTTATAATCACATGGTTCCCTGATACCCGATAAAATTCTCAATCCAAACCAGTTTGGCAGGTGAGTCCGTGTTTACCACCATTTTCTAGGGATACAGGAACGGTGGTTCCTATCCCAAATCGTGTTGTTCATTCTTGATTTCTTTAGATTTTATCATGGCTTGGCAAAAAACCAAAAAGCACAATGATGACAAGATGAAAGTTTTATAAAGAAAATTAATCGGCCAACGGGTCGAGTAAAAGCTAGCAACGATAGTGAGATGCTCATTTCCCGAATACCGGCGGGATAGGCGATTTTTTATTCGATTTTCTGGAATTCGGTTTTTATAAAACTTACTCCACCTCATCATATTACCAGAAACAATATTGTTTCACAAGATAACAGGTACTAGATTTTGGTTCATAAAACTGATTTTTATTCGTTGCATCATTCATGTCTCTTTCTTACTAAAATTCACTATTTTTATCACGTGTTTCTAAAAAAAACTATACAACAATAAGTTATACACCCTATAAAATTATCAAATTTCATACCTTATCTTCCTCCGCCCAAATGGTCGGGCCCACGCTAGTTTCATCTATATAGCCGGATAAACCAACTTATCATACTTTTGCAATCCGTACATCCACATGACAGAATGTCAGTGGCTAATTACAAACTAAACAATAATATAATAAATATGACAAATAAATTAACTAACCACAACGGCACCGTTTATCATATAGACGAAAACACAACATAAAAAGAACTCCCAAGTCCCAACATCTTATGGTCTGAAACCTCTCACTCACATTTATTCATGAATCCTTCTGCTACTAGGATTATGTAGAGAGCCAGCATCTCCAAATTCCTGCCAAATAAAAGCTAAATTTCGTAGATAAGGCTCTTAAACAGTTTCATGTGCTCCGGCGGCGGTGAGATGGCCACCGACATCCTCCCGTCGCCGATCGGACTGGGCAGAATGTACGACAATTCTTCGAACGGGATCCCTCTAGGGCCCATGAAGATGGGCCGACCTCACCCTAAATCTGCATCGTGAATCGGCAGCCGGGCCCAGCTAGACGCTAGTTACCCTGAGGTTCGGGCAGTTGAACGTGTGGGCCCCGCGGACCAGCCCCGACAGATCCGGCTGGACCTCCAAGTAATCCAGCGCCGACCTCAGGTACTCGTAGTCTATCCGGTTTAAAACGTCATGGATCCGACCCGCGGCGAACGAGGCCGGCTTGGTGCGCAGATCCCCCGCCGATGCGATCTGGGTTGCGATGAAGATCCCGTTTCCGAAATAGCCCGGAGGGAGCGGCGGCCGGAGGCAGGACCGACAGTCGGTAGCGACGTGCAATTTGTGTCCTGGTCGTCGGGGAGGCTCCTGGCTTTGCTGACGCACCGCCATGTGGCCGGCGAGGATCTCGTAGGAGCTGTAGCCGATGTCGTTACAGGGTTCTTTGGCTTTTGATTTCAGGGCGTTGAGCTGGTCTCTTGTGAGCTTGAAGATGGAGCTGACGGCGGCGGCGGCGTTGGCAATTGTGGAGGGGATTTTCATTGCCGGCGGGCGGAGGTACTCGATGTGCGGGAAGGAATGTCGAGGCGGCCGGCGGGCTCGGAGGAGGGTCCGATCAATGAAGGGTGGGAGGGTGAGGTCGAGGCCTCGAGACACGTCGGACCATGTGTTGACGAAGTGGAGGCCGGAGAGTCCGTCGGCCACGCAGTGGTGCATTCCGACTCCGAGCGAGACTCTGCAGCACTTGAAATATGTCACCTGATTAAAATGTCAAACTAGCATAGGGCCGGCTCGCACCCATTAATAACCAAATCTGGACCCTTCATTTAGAAAATCCAGATCTAAGGATGGAGAATTAAAGACCATTTTAATTTTCCCTGTTTTTTTTAATTGACTCATATCTTTTTCGTTTAAACTCGGATTTTAATTTTTTTTTTTTTGCACAGATGTAACGAGTTCATCGTGCTCTACAAAATGAGATAAATTTTCAATATTTTTTTAGAAAAAAATTTTGGCATCTCGATACCAACTGCATACCATATGGTATCTTCTTTGTTTTTCATTCGTTTTTGAAAACGTTTGCACAGAAGGGACGAGTTCATCATGATCTATTGGATCTACAAATTTCTGGGTGAACAAATTACAGGACCAAAAAATACCACACAATACCACCCTGGTACGAGGTGGTATCTTGTGGTATACAATGTTAAAAGTCGTAAATGACAATTAATATACTTCTACTATCATGTATTCAACCATCCTACAGTCTCGGTTTGTTCATACCACCATGGTACGCCTTTAAAACAATAGGTATGCTCTTATTTCAATACCAGTCAATACCATATGGTATAGACTGGTAAAAAATGGGTCAATTTTTTTTGTGCGAAAAATATATCAAAGTGGATATCATTTTGAAGAGCACAATTAATCTGATCTAACTGTGCAAAAAAAATTAAATTTCGACTTAAAAAGAGTGAGAAATCGTCCGTCAAAGATTAAGGAGGGAAAAATTAAAGGATTTCGAGGAGAGAGAGAGGATGTTGATGTCATGCTGATGTGGACGGGTTACTCATGGTTACTAGGGGTGGCTATACGGTCCGGTCCGGTTAAATTGGCCAAATTGATCCGGTCCAGTCCGGTCTTTTTGAAAATATAAGGACCGAATATTGGATTGGATACAGTCCGGTCTTGATCCGGTCCGGTCCCAATTCGGTCTTGATTTTACATTGAGATTGTGGGATTTGAGTGGCCTAAGGCCTTAAAGGATGAGGAGTTGGTTAAGTTTTTTACTAAGTGCAAAGGTTTGTGACCGTTTACGCAAATTACCCTTAAGTTTTGGGTGTTGAGCTCTCTTATCCGGTTTTTTACCTCAAATCTAAGCCCAAAGATTGGATTGGATTGTTTACTATCCGGTCCCGGTCCGGTCTCGGTCCGGGTTATACGGTCCGGTTTCCGATTTTTAATCCGGTCCCGGTCCAAATAGCCACCCCTAATGGTTACTCACTATAAGGTTACTGACCTGATCCATTCCCCATAGGGCCCGGCCTGTTGACCGGTGTTGTTGTGAAAAATATTCTATATAAACACATACACTACTTGACAACTCCCGAGAAGGAAGTAGCATTTTGGCTACTACATAATTAACACAATCAACCAAGTTGATCAAGCACACAAAAGCATACGGTTGGTGTTATCAAGTGACACAAATGCAAGTTGGTCGCATAAAGAACACAGACATATGGAAGCTACAGTGGTTGTTAAAAAGCTGGCAGTAAGCTGTTGCTGCCAAACAAGCAGACAACCCTGTTATTTTGAACTTAAAATTCCATTTTCAATGGACGATGACAGCCGGAACTATGTACAATCTAAGTGTGAATGTGATAAATCCCGAACTCCTGCGCACATAAACACACAAATGTAGTTTACTCCTATTCTACAGTGACACAATTATTACATATGCTACCAAGAAAAGCACATAAAATTGAACTTTCTGCAGTGGTAAAGACATGGAAAATAAACTACTGATGTAATAAACTAACACAGATACATGCTTAAATTGGAATTACGAATTTCTTTGGAAAATGATAAAGAGAACTATTGACAATATAAAATTTCAAAAGTCATAAGTATCAAACCATTCACAAACATCCCATAGTCTGGAAAACACAAAGATTCATGATATTCAAGCTTCCAAGTGAACACCTTGCATCATTCTACTCAGCCACATGACGGTTCTCTCCATCTTATAGATACGAAGCAATGTTGGTGTCATTTGCACACTGACTAGATGGAGCCCCAGCATATAGGCAAGTCCAGTGGATCCATGTAAGATACAAATTAGAAAGGGAACATAAAAATATGAAGCAAAAGCAATGACAATACTGGATAACCTTAGGCAAAGAATGAGCCTTCAGGTTGAGGCATCTTAATAGTAAAATATTGAAGTTCCTGCTACCACAAACACACAAATACAATATGCTCCTGTCCAAATTAAAGTGACACAAATACCACATTCTGCCAAGAAAAACACAGATAATGAACTTGCTGCAATGATAAACTCACACAAACGACCACTATGTTCATCTTCAAATAACGATTGTCTTTGGAACATGATAAAGAAAACTATGTACAATCTAAAAATTCAAATATTGTAAAAACCAAACCGTTCACAAACATCCCATAGTCTTTAAAAGTTCAATACAATGGTGTTGACTGTATAATTAAGAGTGAAAATTATGGATGATTTGGAGAGCATACATGCCTTACATACTCAATTGTATAGGGAGCTTTTCTTGCGCATGTCAAATAAGAGAAGGAAAGAGTAGGCAATTTTTTTTAAAGTAGTTATCATTTTGAAATTTTTCATTTTCTTGTGGTGAGTTACCACTGTCTCTATCAGTAATGAATGAGTGGTTTTAGATTATTGATGTTAGTAATTAGAAGTAAAATATGGAGACAGGGTAAAAGGCCAAAAGAAAACGATTGAGAAACTAATAAAGGGTAAAAAATTACATAATCACCTAAGGAGTGGAGATGTTACTTTGGGTTTCAATTTCATCAAATAAACCATTGTAGCATGACTTAATAGCAAGGATAAGCAAAGAGACGGAGGCATGATAGTATTGTAGTTAAGCTAATAGCAAGAATCCCCCTACTTTGAACACATTTTAATATCTTTATCGTGGAAATTGGGTTTGGACAAACTAATCAGCTCTCAGTTGACTTTTTACATAAAGCAAACTGATAACAACCTAAAATCACAATTGACCTTATCACAAACAAACAATTTACAATTGACCACAAAGAGCAAGGTTTGTCAGGTTTCTCATTATTTTACCTCGTGAAATAAGCCTTCTAAAGTCAAACAGAAACATACAACGACTTGTTGACCCTGCGATGCAAAGCATACAGCGAGAGTAAGAGAGAGAGAGAGAGAGAGAGAGAGAGAGAGAGAGAGAGGCGGAGAAAATTTCTTATGAGAGGGCGGAGGGCAACGACTTGAAGCCCCTGCGATGCGAGACAGACTGCGAGCCGAGAGGAGTCGAGAAAATGTTCTGAGGGCTGGAGAGCCAGACACAGATGGCAACGAATCAGAGGATCGAAGAAGTATGGTGGGGATCTCTGGGTGAGATTCAGTGTGAAGGCAAGGATCCGAGGGAATTTCTTCTTGGAGGGAGGGGAGCGACTTGTCGCCCTGTGATGCGAGACAGATTGCAAGAGCTAGGGGGTTGGGAATTTTTCCAGGGCTTGGGAGACAAACACAGATGGAAACAAAAACAACAAATGAGAGGATCGAAGAAGTGCAGAGAGGGAGACGGTGGGGGATATGGAAATGAGACTGAGTGTGGCAGCAAGGATGGTCGGAGCTGTGGTGAGAAGAGGCAGAGTAAACCTCTCTGAGAGCTTAAAGGTCGAGGAATTGGAGTGTGAATCGGTTGGGAGAGAGACAGCAAGAGAGAGGTCCTCAATTCCGAAAGGGATTAGAAGACGGGATGTGTTGGAACGGTGAGAGAGGCGTTCGATTTCCGGTAGAAGATTGGAAGAGAGAAGGTGCGGAAGAGAAGGATTAGGAAATTACGGTAAAAACCCTCCGCATTGTGCAGTGGTTTCAGCATAGGATTACGTGGCAAACTTTCTATATTGACATTGCCTTATAGAGTTTTGTAGATATGTACGTCGTCATCTACACGTCATATGAATTATCGCCTTTTTCAGTTCCTAGTTAATTCAAATAAATCTTTTCTTTCATATAAATTTATTTGGGATTCATACAAAATTATATTAAGAGTTGTTTGGACCTGGAATGTATAAGTGAGTGATTTAGACTCAAATCTCTCATTCAGAAACTCATATATTTGTCACGCGAAATTCTGAATAAATTCCTTGTTTTTTTAAATTTCTCATCTTTTCCGAATGCAATACCATACCTAAATCCGAGAAAATAGACAGATTTAAGGAGTCGTTTGGATGCGTGATTGTAGTGAGTGATTTATGACGGATTTTAAAACAATCCCGCATTATGCAGGATTTTAAAACCATACTACGTTTGGCAATTTAAGAAATTGTGAGCATCAGAGATTTCGAAAACCCACAAGTGAGAGATTTCGAAATAGTTGATGGGGGTCAGCTATTTTGAAATCTCACATTCTTATATTTTTTCTTCTATCCTTGTCCCTTCTAATTTTATTAAATTCCATCCTTACCCTCCTTTTTAACATCTGATCTCTCTTTTCTTTGTTGATCCTCAACCCTCCGTCGTGGTCTCTCTGCGATAATCCCATCAAATCCCCTTTAAGCTGAATCCCCATCTAACCTCGTCTTGTCTCCACTACCTTCTGTTGTACATGCCCCTTTTCATTGATTCTGGGTTTCTGGGTTGGGTAATTGACGATGGAAGTTGGACAGTGGAAAGATCAGGAAGTCACCGGCAGGAGGTTCTGGGTTAGGGTTGGACAATCAATGGCGGAGGGTTAGAGATTTTCAGCGTCAAACGAACTTCTGGCGACAGAGGAAAGATCCCGACGTGGCGTCGTCTATCCATCCATTCGCCGAAATCGTTGCCAAGAAGAGGAGAAGAAAAAGAGATATCGTCGGCGATACCTCCGAGATGGAGACTACCCTTCCTCACCGCCAACTCCCGCCACCGATCGATGAAACCAACTCTGGATCTAACCGTCGGAAGTGAGCTTCGATTGTGGTCCGAGATGGCGGCGATTGTAGATGGAAGAAGATGCACTGGATCACTAAATGTGGACGAGATCGGTGGTGCAGATGCAGGAGGCGGCGAGTGAAGTTGGAAAGAAGTTGAGGCGTCGGCTGAAATTCTCGACCAGTTTAGATGA